TTTCTTACACTTTAGGTCCTTTTACATATTCTTTGTTTCGACCTCTTGATCTCTATATCTATTAGATATCTTCTCAAAGAGTTTTCAGTTTCTTAGTTTGCAGTCAAGATATATTTGAGACTTTTGAGTACAGTTGTTTACAAATCATCGCTAGCTAAATGACTTTGTGTTCTGCTATCTCATCATACTTATCCTGGACCTTTTAAATGCAGATGGGATGTTCCTCTTCCTCGTGCAATTGAAGTTATTTATTCTTCTTCATGTGGTGAGGGCACTGATCCTCGATTTGTAAAATTAGCACCAGTTTTCAGATGCTCAATGTTGAAGTGTAGTGGTGAAAAGAGGTACCCCAAAAGTATATTCCGCACTTTTGCCAATAGTTTGGAAATTTTCTTAGATTGCCATGTAATTGAGAGCATCATTTCCTAGTTTTTGACAACAATAAACTCATATCAGAACTTCCCTGGCTTATTTTGATTGCTGTACAAGATTCCCATGCGCATGATATCATCAGTGGAGAATTATTTCATTTGCTGGATAATCTTGTAGAATATTCATGGTTTTCTCACTGCATTCAGATGTCTTTTTGGCCATATTATGTGACATTTTATGATTCACTGGAAATTGGAAATCCATTGCTTTGTTTAACAGCATCCCTCTTACTGTGGAATGGTCACCTTCACCACCTCATGATTACCTACTTGTTGGATGCCATGATGGAACGGTAATTTTCTTGCACCTCAGCCTTTAATGTTTCTTTAATATATTTTCCTTGTAGACTTTTATCATGCTTTTGCATAGTTTCGAGTAAGATTTCATGTTAACTTGATGAAGGGTTTCCGTTAGAAGGATAAGTAGTGTATTTTGTTCTTGAATTTGCTAGTTTCATCTGCTCCATCCCATTCTGCGTCCAGTTGGAAGGAGTCTGTTTCTTGAGTTATTGTTCTTTTTTTTCTTGATAGTAACTAAAAAGTTTTTTTGATATATTCAGGTTGCTTTATGGAAGTTTTCAGTAAGTAATGCATCCCAAGGTATGGCTAACAGAGCACCTAAAAAATGTAGATATGGTTTTACATTTCTGTTGGAGTTATGACTTTTAACTATATTAGTAAGTAATCTAAGAATGTTAGCTTCAATTCTCCACTTGTTCAGCAGATAAAGGCCTTTACTTTGCTTCAGAGCAGATACAAATCCAATTAGGGCACTTGCTTGGGCCCCTGCTGAAAGGTTAGCTATGTTGGAAATCAATTTTATTTACTTCTTTATGTGGTACTTTACAGTTGAAGTTCCGTGCAGGTATGGGTGTTGTAATGGTTGTCTTGAACGTCACTAAATTATGATATAGGGCATAGAGATTGCTATTTCAGGCTCTTTTTTATTTATTTTATCAATTTTATATTTATTCATTCAAATATGTGAAATGGAACTCTCTGAATTTCAGCAATTCAGAGGGTGCCAATCTTATAGCTACTGCTGGACATGGAGGCCTAAAATTTTGGGACCTGTGGTAAGTATAATGGCTTTTTTTTTCTTACGCTCATATGTAGTTTCTCCTCCTTTATAGTTAGTTAAATGATTGTGGTTTTCAGTGGAAATTGCATTTCATAATAATATGTATAACTTTTGGTTTTGCAGTGATCCATTCCGTCCGTTGTGGGACCTTGATCATTTACCAAGGTTCATATATAGCCTGAATTGGCTTCCAGATCCAAGGTACACAATCTTTTTGTCTGAAACATAAGTGTAACTATCTGGTTGGTGTGCATATGTACTCATATGTATTATATACTTTTTAGTTTTAGCGAGTGTTGTGTTTTTTTTTAATTTTTTGTAGGTGTGTTATTTTATCCTTTGATGATGGAACAATGAAAGCTATCAGCTTGGTGAAGGCTGCATCCGATGACCCTGTAACAGGAAGGGTTGGAACAAAACAACCAGGCCTGCATAATCTCAGTTGTTTTCCCTTTGCTATCTGTAGTGCTCTTGCATCGCTATTAACAGGTCTTCCTTTTGCTTATCTATCTGGAGTTGTATTTCAGTTAATTACAAATGTATGCATAATGCATATGGGGTGTGCTATCCTCACACCCCTTTTTACTTCTCACACACCCTCTTAATTTCCAGCCGTCGGGTGGAATGAATTGAAGAAGATCAAAGGACAAAAAGTAGTAAAGGGTGTGTGAGAAGTAAAAAGGGGTGTATGGGTATCATACCCATGTATTGATTATGTTAGAGTTGACCACAATGGTACATATCAGTATGGCCTAACGGGAAATGGCTCAACCGTCTGCAACCTGGTGCTAAGTTCGGTGCACTGAGAGATCCATACTCAAAATGAAAAGTGGCCTTATTTTTCTTTTTAAGGAAAAGAAAAGAAAATTTATGTATAGTACCTGGATCTGGATCTCTGAGGTTCAATAGTCTCCTTGACTGCTGAATTTACATAAGCAGACTGTACATAAGATTAGATAGATACTATGAAATAGTATCAGCTCATTTCTTCCAATTTTCCTTGTTTGGACTTATTCGTCACGTGATTGAAACTGCATAAGCGTTGGCTACTGAATTCTTAAATTTTTTGGGAAAATGTTGCTGTGTCTGAAATTCCTATTCTCCCTTGATGCTTAGCCTCCTGTCTGCCAAGAATTTTAAATCATTGTCATTGACCAAAATTTCACACAGCGAGCATGCTACTCATATCTGTGGCTGTGCCTTGCTATTTTTTTTTATAAATAAACTTTGGGAGCGGGAAGAGTTGTCTGGATTGACCGTGACAGCGGTGGGATTTCCTGATTAATCTACTTTGTCATATACTTCTGTGTAACTTCTGATTCCAGCATTTTTTTTGTATCCTCTAATTGGAGAACTCCACTTTCAAATCTCAGGTATGGTTGCACATTTAAGTATATAACAACTTGCAGTTCATTTGTAACAACGAACCGAGCAGGTTTTGTCTAGTCTTTTTTTGTTCTCATGAACTCGGTTTCTGCATGATGCTTGGACCCTTTTTTTGTTGCGAAGGCTGATGCTAGGATTTGGTAATTGATACAAATGAACTGCAAGTTGTTATATACTTAAATGTTTCGTTTTTGTTTTCATATAATCAGCTTACAACCAAATCTCTGGAGAAAGATCCTCGACGGAACAGGGCCCCACATTTTCTGTGTGTGTCATTGACAATGGAGGAATCTGATATAACCATCAATACTCCGGTATCAAATTCCCCGTTCCCACTGAAGGTAGTTCGCAACAATGCCGACAAAGTGAAAACTACTAATGATAAGACGGCAAGGGACAACACATCGGAAGATCAAAGTTTAGGTAAAGCTTTGTCAATTGCGTAACCCCCGACATTTTCTTTAATCACCCTATGTTCTTAGTTCCATCTTTTGGAATGTTCATCAAATTGTCTCTTTGTTGCAGCTCCTTGTTATGGTGATGATCCGGGTATTGAATCGGACACTGGGGGAAAATTGGCTTCTCTCAAAAGCCAAAAAACACAGAAATCCAAGTCCAGTACGAAAATGCCAGATGATGACTGGGCAATGGTATGCTTAGATGAAGAGCCGACTAATACGCAGGAAGAAGAAACTGGGGTGGCTTCTCTCGAAAGCAAAAAAGCAAAGAAATCAGAGTCAAGTAAGAAAAAGCCAGATGATGACCAAGTACCGGTATGCATGGATGAAGAGCCGACTAATCGAGAAGAAGAAACCGTGAAAGAGCCTGAAGTTTTCCCTGACAAAATAGTAGCAATGCATAGAGTGAGATGGAACACGAACAAGGGTAGTGAGAGATGGCAGTGTTATGGAGGGGCGGCCGGAATTGTTCGTTGTCAAGAGATTGTTTTGTCCGGCGTCGATAAGGCGTGGGCAGCAAAGAGATGAGAAGCCATGTTTCTTGTATACAGTTTTGTCTGTAAAAAGGAAAAGAGAGAACGAAATTAATTTATGAAACAGAGAAGTAATCAAATTTTGAGTTATTTAATGCCATTTCTTCGAATGCAACTTTTACCATTTACCACCGCAAGCGAGGGGCTGCGCCGTCGACGGAAGTCCCCCGCGCTCGCGTAAGCAACTTATGCTAGCAGATTTCTTTGGGAGCTCTTTCAACATCGAAAAGAAAAGTATCATCAGGCTAAAAGTGAGTAGGTACAGGCACTATTAATTAATTAGAGTTTCCGTTTTGAGGAACTAGCTAGTCCTTTAGTTCTGTGCAGAATAACTACTAGTTAACATTCTAGTCATGCGTTAAGATAATACTAGCAATTGCACACGTGTTATGCACGTTCGTGTTAAAATTTTGAAAATAAAACTTATAAAGCGAGAAAATATAAAATGATCGCTAAAGCTTTTTGGTAACGACCTTCAAACGATTTTTCGTTGCAGAAGAAGTTTCATAACTCTAACGACTATTTTTGGATAACTATTTTGTCAATAAAAATTTATTTTATGTGGGAGAAAATCATGAAAAGAAAATGGTGGCAACTGATTTGGTTACCTGATTGTGAGGCTAAGAAAATTATTATTTTTAATTTACTATATTGCCCATAACTTTTATTTTGGTTATTTTTCTTCAGTTTTGCTCATCATTCCGACAAGAAGTGGTAAATATCCTGAAGCTAGCTATAAGATAATTTATATGCATTTGATGTTTGTAGCTAGCTAACCACCTTAACTACATACCCTCCCAAGATCCAAAATCCAAGCCACCAAACTCTCAGACTTATTTGGACTAAAACAGCGGTCCCTTATTCTTTGTTCAACACAGACAAACCAGCTCATTTCACTCTCACTCCCCTCACCATATTTTGCGCAGAGAGAGAGAGAGAGAGAGAGAGAGAGAGAGAGAGAGAATGCATTGAGAAGAAGATGCACTGTTAGTTATGAAGCTCTCTCCTCTTCCTCTATTTATAGCAAATTAATCAGTCCTTTCACTTGTCTGTTTGACAGAGAGAGACAAAACACACACACACGCGCACTGATTTAGCAAATTGAAATACAATGAGGATGTTACAAAATCTACTGGTGATTCTTGTATTCAGTACTTATTTAGCAGCCACGTTGGGTGAAGGAATACGTGAGGATGGCGACGATGGTAGGAAGGTACGTATGTTCCAGACGATAATATTTTCCATTCCTCTCAGCAGTTCATCATCATTTTGTGCAACAACGTTATCATGTTCTATTGTCAGAATGTAAATTAAGATAATATGATATTCAAAGGTGACAATGTAACAAAGTGATTTGGTCAAATGTGACAATGTAACAAAGTGATTTGGATTTGTACTTTTAACAGCCTTACATTGTATACATGGGAGAACTACCAGCACCCGAAATTTCCGTCATGAGCAGACACCATAACCTGCTCGCGCAAGCGATCGGAGAGTAATGACCAGCTTCTTCCAACCAATTTTTTTCAAATTTTTATATACGGAGCTATTCTTGAGGATCACCGAACATTTTCCCTTCAAATTTCAGTGTCAAAGTAGCCAGAGAATCAAGAATTCATAGTTATGGAAGGAGTTTCAATGGGTTCGTAGCAAGATTGTTGCCACATGAAGCACAGGCACTCTCAGGTTCTTCGAAATATAACTGAATAAATAAGTAAACAAATGATGCTACCCTAATTAGGTCCCGAATTATTATCCGAATCATTAGGCACTGCTATTTATAATTTTTATGATTTTCTGTGATTTGTAGATGATGATAGTGTTGTGTCAGTGTTCCCAAACACCGTGCGCAAACTTCATACAACAAGGTCATGGGATTACCTAGGGTTGCCGTTGAAATCAAAGAAAAGGAACTCTCAGATAGAAAGCAATACCATAGTGGGCGTGTTGGATTCAGGTTGGTATAATCTGCCATTCTTTTCTCTCTTTTCTTTTATTGATAGAACCGTCGTTTATGAGATTTGAACTCCATACTAGACATCATTGAACTAAATGATCATCAATTCATCGGTGTGTTCTGTTATTCCGATTGAAAGACAATAGCAAAAGAAACAAAGTTGAAAAATTGTGAAACAAAATATTTGTAACCTTTTCAAATTCTGTGTGTACTAGGAATTTACATGCAGGCTCCCAGTTTCAACGATAAAGGCTACGGACCACCCCCAGCTAAATGGAAAGGCAAATGTATGAAGGGTGCAAACTTCACAGGCTGCAACAAGTATGTCTCTCCCTCCCTCCCTCTCACTCACTCTAAATCATTAGTTTAAAGACACGGGCCAACGACATACTACTAACTACACTGATGTTTTCTAAATTCTATTAACTTGCATTTTATTAGCTGCACAGCACGACATGTCTGAAGGTTTTATCACGAAAGTCCTGTGTAGTTAGAAGTGCAGTCATTAAATAGAGCTATTTAGTTTTGTTAATTTTCCGAGGTGAGATTCTTGTATTCTTCAACATACCAGTCTCGTGAAAACCTTATTTATATGCTTTTTTTTCTTGAGCAGCAAGGTGATTGGTGCCAAATATTTTAAATTGAACATTGCCCGTACTTGGGGCATTCAAAGCCCAGTCGACGATGATGGCCACGGCACTCACACTGCCTCCACCATTGCTGGTGCAGCCGTCAAAGGTGCCAGCTTATACGGCGTTGCCAAAGGGACTGCACGTGGGGGCGTGCCCTTGTCACGCATCGCCGTGTACAAAGTGTGCTGGAGCACTCTTGGCTGCAGTGACATGGATATTTTGGCCGCGTTTGATGAGGCCATTGCCGACGGTGTGGACTTAATATCGATCTCAATTGGTGGTCACTCGCGGAGGTTTTTGGACGATCCCATTGCCATCGGATCATTTCATGCCATGAAAAAAGGGATTTTTGTGTCGTGCTCAGCTGGGAATGATGGGCTTCCGGCCAGTGTGCAGAATGTAGCACCATGGATTATGACAGTGGCTGCTAATACCCTTGATAGGCAGTTACAGACTGTAGTTAAACTTGGCAATGGCCAGAGGATTTCTGTAAGTCTCTCTCCCTCTCTCACTAGGATAATCTGATAATAGTCACCGATTCTAATTGCACATAAACGCGGTTTTACTCACCCAATCCAGTGCAACTAACGTCAATGGCTATAGTCATATTTTTTGTAGTGTCTATCTCACGCCCAAACACATAAGAATACAAAATTATCATGCAGTCTGATGAGTTAACTGATTATTCAATCAATTGTAGGGAAATGCACTCAATACCTATTCGCCGAAGAAACTGATGTATCCTCTTATAAGTGGAGCCCTTGCATATAACACGAGTAATGAATTCGGGGGAAATGCAAGGTATGAGTTTTAGCACAGTCTATTGTTTTCACATAATTGTCACATGTAACACGTTCGATTATTACACAGTACGATTAGTTACATTTTGTGAGAAGGCAAACATATATGTGCTCATAAGAAATATCCTTCAACTATCTTGTAAATTCGCCTTGATAACTTTGTTGGAACTCAATGCAATTTCAAGAATATAAACCCATCAAATGATTTGAAAATGATAATGGCAGTGCTTGTGATTCCTGGACTCTAAACGCTAACCTGGTGAAGGGGAGGATTGTGTACTGCCAAGGGTTTGGTTATCAGGATTACACTATTCAACGGTTAAAGGGTGCTGGAACCCTAATTTCACGTGATGAACTTAATGATTATGCATATAGCCCTATAATCCCTGGTACCGATATCCTTGTCCAAGATGGGATCAAGATCGACAAGTACATCAACTCTACCAAGTATGGTTTTGTATAGCTCATTTCAATCTCATATTTCACGGCTGATAAATCTTTTTCAAAAGGAAATGATTTCCGCATACCACTTTTCTCTTTGTGCACAACCCTGTCTTTTTATGGACAAGACGAAAAGGAGTGGGCAGAAATCAGTTTCCTTCTCAAGTATGAAAAAACCTAATAATCTTTGTGGTTTGGAATGAACTAACTCCAGAAACCCTACGGCAGTCATATACAAGACCAGAACTCCTCGAATGACCGCCCCCATCGTCGCTTCTTTCTCGTCAAGAGGACCTCAACAGATAACACTCAACATCCTCAAGGCATTTCTCTCTCTCTCTTTCTCTCTCCTCTTTCTCTCACTCATTCTACATATTTGGTTATACTCAGGTACTATTTTCATGTACAGCCTGATATTTCTGCACCAGGGGTAAACATATTGGCTGCATATTCAAAGATACCATCCATAACTGGTTACCCAGAAGATCTGCGCCACAATGTGTTCAATGTGTTATCAGGTACGTCCATGTCTTGCCCTCATGTAGCAGCAGCAGCAGCCTATGTCAAGTCTTTCCATCCGGACTGGTCACCTGCTGCCATCAAGTCCGCTCTCATGACAACTGGTTAGCCTTCCCAAACCGTACTATCAAAAAAAATACAATAAAGTCCATCAAAGCAATGCACTAACCAATCTTTTCACTTCATTTGGCTCAGCCACACCAATGAAAAACGAAACAGCAGATACCCAGCTAGCCGCAGGAGCAGGACAAGTAAACCCGAAAAAGGCGGTGCATCCTGGTCTTGTCTACGACATAACCCTAGATGACTACTTTAGTTTCTTGTGTAAGGAAGGTTTCAACGACACAGACATTGGAAAACTTGTTGGGGATAAAAAGAATTACAATTGCTCAAACTTTAAACCTCCACGAGGCACAGACGGCCTCAACTATCCTTCTATGCATCTTCAGCTTCTCCCGAATGACAACTCTAGCGTTTCAGCAGTCTTCTACAGAAGAGTTACGCATGTAGGGTTCGGTAATTCAGTATACAAGGCAAAGGTGATGAATTCGAATGGTCTGAGGGTGAAAGTCATACCGAATACGTTGACCTTCACTAAGTTGCATCAGAGAAGGTCTTTTAAGGTTGTCGTGACCGGTCGCCCGACGATGACCGAAACAGTTATGCATGCTATACTTCAGTGGGATGATTCTATACACAACGTTAAGAGCCATATCGTAGTCTACAAGCATCTCAGTTAGCTCCAGTATTTGGTAGCTTTTTTTTTTTTTTTTTTTTTTCCTATTAGTTTTCATTTGTGCTTGTAAATAAACATTTGTTCATCACTAAGTTTCTTTCGTATCGAATTCATTTCAGAGACATACTTCCATATGTACACTGTCTAACACCACAACAATATATATATATATATATATATATTATATAAACAGCCCATAGATAAAATTCATACGAATTGGATTTTTACAAAACAAAGATAAGAGATCTGCTCCAGGCCCAAAATAAAAATGGCTTTACATGCGGATAATAATTATCTCATAAGTAGGAAAGAAAATGTGTATTTTCAATCCACAAGAAAAAAAAAAGGGGGCGTGCAAAATATGAATTCTCATTTGTTTCTGCAACAAAAAAGGCGGGGACTTTGTAGCTAAGATCACCCAGGAAGGTCTATCTCAAGGTATAAAATATGTTTTGTTAAGTTGTTCATTTGTTTTCTGTGATGTTGTTTTCATGTGTTGCAGACAAAGGTGTTGTCTTTTTATTTCTGAAGTCGTTCAAACATCGAAGTTACTAGCCTACTGCCACAAAGAAAATACAGCAATTCACGCCTCTTTCGAGAGAACGCAACTAATTCGCATACAAGGATGAAAATGGAGCTTGCCAACAAACAACCGGAAACGGTTTCTACGCACAAGAAGCATCTCACGTGGCAGCCTACTCCTCTGATCATGACGGTCAAGCAATCCTAGCAGCTTTTTAAGTTGGAAGACGAGAAAAGAAGTCTAAATTCCCAAGAAATTCCTGTGGCAGAACAGAGTTCGGTGCATGACGAGTCTACCAATCGAAGAGAACCCCCAAGTTGTTCATTTCTGCTAGCTCGAGAATTTTCCAGCATGGCATGTTTGCTAGACATAGTCATGCGGGAAACGGAGACTTCTGCACGATGGTTCCGGATCTGCACGTCAAAGAAATTTACCGGCATGACATGTTTGCTTGCAGACACGGCGATGCCAGGAATTGGCACAATGATGTCCGCACGTGAACACTTCGAAGCAACAACACTCTTCACCTACGCATTTTAAAGTAGGACAGGATGGATTTAATCTCCAAAATCTATATAGCCTCATCTTCTTATTGTCATGAATATGCCTAAACTCAATCGAGATTACTCTAGACACCTGAAATCATCATTTTCTTTCTTTTTCCATTGTTTCGCTATCGAATGCCTAAAGATCAAAACAATATAATTTAATAAGGACTTTTTCCTGTACTCGCATCATAAACATACGAAACATCTTGCGGATGAGTAATTATCTGTACTTTTCTGCGGAATGATGTTGCCTACACCAATTCAAGGTACCGCAAAAACTGCGGGACTGGTTTGCCAAGCCCGCCATTCATCTTCTCAGTATGGTTTCCGATGATTTGGCTTGAAAAGTAAGCCATCTCGGGCTACATTATCTAGTTCTCAACGATTTCATAACAAAAAAACTACCCATACATATTGAAGGGCCAGAACAAAGATTTCCAGTTTTTCGTCTACACCCCGAAACAACATATAAAATACAAGCAAACGCCTTGAAGATGTACCTACGTTGCAGGCCACATCTTTTATGTCATCGACTCAGTAACCTTCTATAATTAAAGGTTATAATTAAGGTTAGGTGACGTGCTCTGGACTCAAATCTCAAAGGAGTCCCCCTAAAGTAAAAGGACCTGCATGAAAACTATGAGAGAATTTATAGTCAACATGTATCCAAGCTCAGCACTGTGTCCGACACTGCCGGCCATGAAGGCTCTTTAGCTTCGTGAGATTTTTCCTCCTCTTTCTCGCCTCAGCTGCTGCATTTGCATCTACGAGTTTCCTAGTAGGGTAGATGATTGGTTCACTATTCTTGTCTGACAAGGCAGAGAACTCGTGAAAAGAGTTCAGAGTGGTTACAGTGTAATCTGATTCAAATCCGTTCTCATTCTTGATACAAGATGCAACTCCAGAATGGTTGACTGATGCCGCAGAAGGGAATATTTCCTTGCAACCATTTTCCATCGGGTGAGGTCCTGTGTGCTGATCACCTCCATCAAGAGGAAACTGATCAGGGGTCTCATTAAGATCACGTGACAGTCTGCCTTCAATTGAAGGGGAATCTTCTGTTTTTAATCTAACAGGGAAAGAGGACTGGTGGTTGTCCAACTGCGCAACGGTTCTTGAAGATGAACTAGCACTGAACTGGTTATTAAAAGAAGTCTCTTCTTGCTTATTGTTCAAACACAAGGAAGACTGGGGTTGGAGTCCATTCCCATTATCAAAGTGAGGGATGAACCAAGGACACGGAAACACATATAAAGGAGCTCTCGCTCCATTGATGTTTGAGGGGTTGTCTTGTTCAAGAGAAGAGTCAGCTGCACCATTAGCCGGCAATGAGATGTTTGACGGAATGGCTATTGGATTTTGTGGTATGTGCTGCACCTGAGTAGAGTTTGAAGACTGGATGATAGAAGGCCAGAAAAGTGGTGCAAATGGGGGACGGTTAAACAAGAAGAACGGGGAATTTGTAGATGAAGACGGAGGTATCTGCATCTGCACATAGGCTGACATATTTTCACCTGGTGTTTTATCATCCTCTGCCCTTATCACCTTAGTCATCTGCAAAATGAGAGAGCATGTCAAACATGCGATACCTTGTTAAGATAAGACAGCTCTTCAAAGTGTCAGGCATATCTTTACCTGAACTTTCAAGTGCTTATTTGTTTTCTCCAAAGACTGGAACTCCTTTACCGCTAGCTCCTTTTTCTTTGGATTCAAAGATGTGAATAACGTTAGTACTATGGTTAGATAAGCTCTAGACTCGAATATATGAACCAAAGGTAATAAATATAAGAATGAGAGAATGAACATACAGATAGATAGATAGACCGATGGTTATAAATACGTGTGTGTGTGTGTGTGTGTGTGTGAGAGAGAGAGAGAGAGAGAGAGAGAGAGAGAGAGAGAGAGATGGAGAGGGAGAGGGAGAGGGAGAAGGAAGCAAATCAAGTTTATAAAATTTCATTTGGGACTAATGCCTACCCTTTTCAGATTTTCATTCTCCAATGCCAGATCGGCAGCTTTTGTGGTTAACTCCTCACATAGAGCCTGAAGAACAAGCAAAGATGAATGATTTACTAAAGTATAAATGTACGATATCCAACAAAGCAATCTGCAATGGACACATACCATGCAATTTGAGAATAAGAAACACAACCGGTCAACATCTATTTTTTCAGAAGAGAAAAAAAAAAAAGAGAAGGCTAACAAAAACCAATGCACCGTGTCACACATTTAATTTACTACTGCAATGGCATATTGTCATACTATGGTTAGAAACTTCAAATAGCCATTAATTGAACAGCAACTACAATCCAAAATATTTAAACGCATTCATGTCATTAGTTATTCCTGAGACTAGAAAATGCAAGGAGGCCCTCGGGTGATAAATGATTAGTTCAGAAAGGAGAGGTAAAAAAACAACCACTTCAGGGTCCCAAAGAACAAATTAATTATATATCCTTAAGCTCAAGAAACAGACAACAGACTATCTCTCGATCTTAGGACAGGACTATATCCATCACAGAGGCTCTTGACTAGACACCTCATGGTTCTGTAAGGTAAAAGTATTCTCTGTAACTAGTCCTGTCGTCTGCCTAAACCCCAACCAATACAAAGCTCAGTTCCCTTTATTATTTTATACCACACAAACCTGATTTGTCGAACAAAAAAGAACTAGAAGAAAGACATATTCAACTAGTAGAGTGAAGCAGCCTACTTGACGTCGACGAATTGTTTGTCTAGCTGACTCACGATTTGCCAATACTCTGCGTATTCTCCGCTCTTCCTTTTCCTCCTAAACAGCGAAAATATTGATTAACTAAAAAGACAAATGTAATCACAAAACACCACTGTAGAGGGAAGAAGTTTAAACGTTGTCAGTACCTCAGTTAAATTCCGCCTTGACTTGCTGCAACTAAATGAAGGGTAACTTGTAGTGCATATAGGACTTGGCTTATTTAATTCTGGATCATGCTCAGCCCTCACAACCTTTTCACTCAGAACTTGCTCAGTCTTCACCAGTTCTGTAACGACATTTGTGCATACCATTTCACATTGCAGCAAACCTGTCACAGCTTGATCCTGATATAGACAAAAATATTTCTCAAATCCAGGAGAAAATATTGCGATTTGGTGACTGAGCCCCACACACTTGGGAGTCGGGAGACTGGGTAGCATAAGTGTTAGTGATTGTGAAGTGTTATGTGCAAATTTGAAAAACAATTCAAGCTAAACTGGCCATGGACTCGGTCCCAATACAATGTACTTCGTTTGTCTCCAATCCTAACAAAAACAACATTAAATTCCAGCCATATGTGAACTAATTATGCATCCAAATTGTTGGTGGCTGAACTATGCAAAACTCGTATTTGAATCAAGCCTTATCAAGCCTTCAATGGGCAGAAGATAAAGTAAATTTGACGCATACACAAATCGGAATCCTTCCCCGAAAAAGGGTTATCTTATTTTGCAAACATCTTTACTATTTTTATACAAAGAATCAAAGTTTAATCCCCAAACGGATAAGTTGCCATTCTTCCCTAAAAGTCCATCATTTCCTAAAACACTCAAGTCAGCAGGATCTTTGAATTTTTCCAATACAAGTAAGAATACTAATTTCACCCAATACAAAAAACAACCATTTCCTTTTTCTTTCAAGTTTCAACGCCTACTTTTTCAAAACAATAAATCAAAATAAATGATAATTTCAAAAAAAAAGAATATAAGCAACAAAGACAACGAACCTGAGGAAGATCCGGACATGTGGGAGCCGGGTCAGGCGGGTTCAAACCCGACTGACTCGGCGGAGACCCACTCTTGACTCGCTTCCCGGCTCGCTTCCTTTTCAGCCCCCAATTCCCAGCAGATTCGGCGCCGCTACTCTCGCGCATCGCCAAATGCGCCAAATCCGCGAGCGCCTCCGCCGCCTCGAGCTCCTCTTTCACCATCGGATCCACACCGCCGCCGCTTCCACCAAATCTCTCGACCGCACCGTTCGTCGACGACGAATAATAACCGGAGTCGGGCGGCGACGAAGACCCCGCCGCCGTGGACCCCGTCGAGCTCGAAAACGACCGCCCCTGAGAAGAAACCATGGCTTCCCGCTCTCATAAAACACGAAAACACAACCGCACGCAGATGAAGTGTTTGCGTATTTGCGCGACTGAGAGTTCGTACTTGTTTCTTCAGCATACGGTAAGCTACTGAAGCGACAGAGTGTGAGAGAGAGGAGAGAGGAGAGAGAGCGACACAGGGTTACTGGTTCGAAAGCAAAAGACCCGCAGGGTTAGCGACAGAGTGCCACTTGTCGAGCCACCTCAGGCCACGACGTCTTCGCAAAATCGAGCTCCATATATGTCTTCGCGCCACGTTAGCCGAACGCGCAAGCAGGGCCTCGCACGTGGGGGCGTGGGAGGCACTGCACACGTGGCCGGGCCTTTAATGTACACGTGGACTTTTGCCTACTCTGCGCTTTTTCGATGCCGTTAATTCGAGTGGCTGGCTGGATACGTGGAGGTGGATATTTTTCGTTACCGCGCGGTGAAAAGCGTGGGTTTTTACTTTTTATCTTGAGTCGACACCTGAAGTGGTAAGTAAAAAAGGTTGCAGTTGTCACCGTGTTGGGTCCCAGTGCTTGGCTGTTGGTTTGCTGGGTCTCCTTGGTCCTTTTGTTTTGAGTCGACCGCCTATGTCCATGTCTACTGTCTATGTTACTTTTCGTTAAATATTTAATACTCGTTTGATAATTATTTCATTAGTAGATTGACAAAATGTGGATAATGATTGATATATAAGAAATAATGATGAGAGGAATGCAACTAATACCCCGTATTTAAAAAAAAAAAATGATTATATATGCGTGTTTGTATATGCGAAATTATTTTATGTAATAATTTTATTAGGTTTCTTTTTATACGTTATTTGTACAAGAACTTATATTTTTTATATGTATACTAGTGTCAACACAAGTTCATTTTTGCTACAGGGCTATTTCAAAAACTAATTAATATTATTTCATGTTCATATGTAATTAGATATATTTTTAGTTTGAATTGGAGAAGGAAATTATGATAAGTTTGGCTTGATTTTTCTCACAAAGGCTAAGTGACGTTTTTGCAACCATTAGAGAATAAAGAGGAGTTAGTCACTACTCTAGATATGTTGAGGTGGGATTCTATATCTTATAGAGTATGGATGTGGCCCTAGGGTATTTGTCCACTTTGCATGATAATTTTTGTTTATGACTAACTTAACACATGTTGCTTTGTCATATGAACACATTCTATTGTCAATGATTAACTTCACATTTAGTGTGTTTCTATTAGAACACATAATAGGGCTAATGATTAGCTTAACATTTGTTTTCTTTCTAATGGACCACATATCATGGTTAATGATTAGTGATGATTCATCCCCCAAATTTGGAGAGGTGGGATTCTATATCCTTTACAGTTTGGACGTGAGGAACATCTTGCATGATATTCATTAGTTCATAATTAACTTAACACTGGTTGTTTTTCTATTAGACCACATTTCATTCTTAATGATTAGGACAACAATTGTTTCTTTGTTATTGGAACACATTTTATGTCTAATGATTGGCACAACACTTGGTTTCTTTCTATTGGCACACTTGTGGAGGTTTTTGGAGAGGAAGATGTCATGCAATCTTTATAAGGAAGGAGCAAGAACCAACGGAGGACATGGAGAGGACAGAGGAAGAAGAAGAAAAAGAAAAATAATAACTCCAACAAAAAGCCATCCTCCCTTTCATATTACCTCTTTATCTTTCTTTTACATACTGTTAAGGCTTTAAGCCATCTTCCATTGTATTTGTAAGTTTCTCATATATAGTGAAATACAATGAAGGCGAAGTGGATGTAATCGATTTGGCAAACCACTTAAATCTTGTGTTGTTTATGCATTTACATTTGAAGATCATTGCCATGAAAAGCACTTCCACCAAACCATCGAAAATCTCCGTTTATTTCCCTTGAGAATGATGTACAAAAAAGTGTGAGACAAATCCCAGAAAAATACATGAGGCCTTACTCAACAAATCTCTCCACCTAAGTCACTGTCATTTTCATCCATCAAAAGAAAGATATCCAAAAACTAGAAATTCGTCCCGCCTATTTAACAGACCAAAACACCAACATCCATAGATTAAATCATAGTACTTTCTTCATAAGAGTTGTTCGCATGTCTCTCTACCATGATATATCCAAATTTTAGGAAAATCCAACTATGCGATCGTCCAATATGTTTGAAATACCAACTCAGTCTCTAATCCCACAGAAAACTGGACAGCCATGTTATGAGTACCAAAACCCCATCTTTCGTAGCTCCGATCGAAACACTTCATTCACAAAAGTTGTTCCTTATCATCTCCTCTATAACATATCTAAAAACCACGACAATCCAATCTATGTGCTGACTTGTACCCCAGTTCGAACAGCTGATGTTCAGTTAAGATAGCCTTCTCTGCCAACCTCTTTGCATGGTCAACATCTCTTAGTTTCTTTCGCTCACTTTCATGGAAGTTTTTCAGCAATCCGACTCCTATTACATATGTAGAATTTCAGCTATATTAAAAAAGAGGAAGGGGAAGTGGTGAAGGAAGAAGGACAACAAGAGGGAGGATATGAAATTGAAACAATAAAAAAAATGAGGAAATTGTAACGTATTATTTATCATTTATGTTGATTATTACTTTGTTGTTAATATTATGATTATATTGTTATTGTTACTAATCAATTGGTTTTATGTTAAAGCTTACATGCTTGTTAAAGAAAATATGATTATTGATATCTATGTGAACATGACACATACATATGCATTGCAAAGCAAGAAAGAGAGTTCAGTTGTGTTGAGTTGTGTAAAGTGTTTGAGTTGAGAGAATATTCAGGGGCTGAAGTTTGCCTTGAATATAAAATAATGAACCTTGTATACGTCAGGCGTCGGGGGAAGGGCTTGAGTATACAACTGGTTGGTTATAAATTAATGAAATCTTGTATATGTCAGGCGTTGGGGGAAGGGCTTGAATATACAATTGGGCGTTGGGGGAAAGTGCTTTTATAATAAAGTCGAAACTGAGAATTTAATTACAAAAATTGGGTTTAACGGATGAACAGGAGTTAACTCATATTATAAGGTATTCGGAGCCAAATGGTATAAGCATGGTATGGGACGTGCATGCTTCGATGCCTTATGTATGTGTTAGCGGGATTAGAAGGGAGTGAGTACATTCATCCACCTCATTTGCATATATTTCATGCATTTGAAAGAATTGTTACAATTTAATTATTATTTTGTTGGTAGTTTTTGTTGTAATTTGTGCGCTATAATTATTCCGCTGCGTATTCAATAAATTTTATGTAGTAAACTTAAGCGTTTAGTATGTAAAAGTTGTTAACTAGTGTTATAAGATGTATTGTGTAATCAACTCCAAATAATTTAATTTTAATTTTTCCACCATATCTTGGTTGTAGAATTTATTTCTACAGCTAAGGTATGCCTCACACCCTATCTCGTGATTAGTCTTTATTCGAGGGTCAGGGCGTGACAACAACAATAACAATCAAGTCTTATTTTAATAAGTGAGGCCAGCAGTATAAATACTAGAACGGCACTTTGCTTGGTTTTGCACCAAGTCTTTCATTAACTCCATGTTCTCCATATTTTTTCTTATAGTCGCTTTCTAAGCCTTCTTAGATCTTCCTTCCCTTTTTGACCTTAGTCTCTGTCTTATAGTAGCAAGCATATGTAGGTCTTCGGTTCACGTGTCCAAACTACCCAAATTGATTTTCTCTCATCTCATCTTCAATTTCGACCACTCTTATTTTACCTCAAATATTCTTAATTATATCATTTATGGTGTGTCCCCATATCCAATGAAACATTCTCATCTTTGTGACACTCATGTTTTGCACGTATTGCTTGTTGATCGTCCAACAGTCCAGCAATTGTCCTATTGGCAGTCCGATCGCTCATTCTTCCACGAATACCTTCCTACGAATATTGTCCTCTAGCTTATGAAAAATAGCGGTGGAAGGGATGAGAAAAAATAAATGAGACAGAATATATAAGAGAATTACACTGAGTTCTTCAACCTACGCAAAAGCATTCGAATTAGTGCGTAAAATTGAAGCATACAATTCTAGCCAACTTACTAGACTAAAGTCTTCAACTTAAAATAATTTTGGTTTTTAGTTTTAACCTTGTCTACATTTCATTACATATTTCTTCTATTTCTTTCCCACAATCTTCCACCACTCTTTTATATCATCAGTTCTACGATGTATTAACCTCTCTATTTCTAACACAAAAATAAAACTTATAAATATAACAAGATGGTAGTTTTTCACGATTGATGAGATTACGCCATAAATTAAAGTAGTTTTAAAACAACATTTTTACTTTACAATCTGATATTTTTTAAATAAATATAGGAGGTATCCAACTATACATTGATGGTAGTCTAATTTTTTTTTTTCTTATAAAACCCAATACCAGACACGGATCAAACAATATATCAAAGTAGAGTTGGTCGCCCCAAAAAATGCATTTATGAAAACTTGAATTCGAATTGAGGGTTCTAAAGATTTGCTTGGTTTTAAGTAGACCAATCACGTGGGTCACAACTTATAACCAATTATAACATAATAAATGGGTAGTACCAATGCATCCCCCTAAGTCTGAAAACAGGTCGTGTGTTGTCGTTTTCATGTTATACTAATTATCTTAACAAGTCGTGTTATGTTAAATCAGTTATTTTAACAGGTTCTTAACAGATGACTCAATAATTATCCAATTCACTAACAGATCGTGTCGTTTCGAGTTAACAAATCATGCAAGAAATTGTTATTCATAATATCTAGACCTGGCAAACAATATCTTATTTGGTTCTTAACGCATGACTAAATAACGACTCTATTGTTAATGGGTGCCGATAACGACCTGACTCGTTAACAAGTTGACCTAAAAACAATAATTTCAGATCGTTTTGTATTGAATTAACAAGTCGTGCAAAAAATTATCAAGCTAATCGCTCTCCCAGAATGTTGTGTAGTATTTGGGCTTGGGCTATCTTTTA